CAGGAATATTGTTTAGATCAGTACTTCCCAAACTATGTTGAGAATATTACCCACTACTCGCCACTAGAGAATCTGAGCATTAACAATATTTATGCCCTGTTGTATCTAAGACAGCTGGGTCAAGATTGAAAATGTTTGTTAGACGAGTCCTGTCAACTTTGGTAATGTGGACGTGTAGTTTATTAATAACCGCCCGAATTTAATAGAATTTTCTTATTATACCGCCTTTCGAATAACTATTTTATTTTCTGCGCGTGTACTAGAACAAAATTTCTCTATGATTTATAAAAGTATGTGCCAAGACAACTGGTAGTATCGATTTGTTTAATAAAAAAGAATGTCTAAACGTTCAATAACTCACGATCCAGCCGATTTATGAATAATCACCGTCAAGGACGCGTACATTTGCGAAACCCATTAAATAGTTATTCAAAGCTACAACAATGGTGTAAATTTACTGTCTTTGTCGGCGCGTTCGTTCAGCTGATCGCGGCCACACTCCATTAGCCTTATTTACTGTTCCGCGTAATTTTGCCGAAATCTCTTATTACGTCACGTGGCTCGATTGACACCACTAACAGACCCTCGTTAGTGCAACTAGAAGTTTTTACTGTGGCAAGTGGCACGTACCTACCGTGGGTTACTTCACCGGTTCTGCAATTGACGATCTAAGACAATCTGCCGAGGCAAAAAACTGTTTCGGTATTTAAGTTTCTCTTTGTAAATTATTATGTAATATTCTTTTTTCACTTGCACCTTCGGCTAATGGACTTTGACAAAGCAGATACGTTAGTGTTTACAATCAACTCGGTGGATTTGTAGGACAAAAGGAAACAATGATTAATCAATGTGCAAGATATTCGGACAAGTCTTGCGGATTTTATTTAACAGTGAAAAGTTATAAGTACGTGTTTAAGTACGGAGGAAATTAACTACACGACAGTTATACAGGGTTACTTAAATATATCTTAGCAATATAAACTTCGGCTTTGAGTACATTACAATATAAATTGTTTGCAGAATATGTACACATTCCTTAGAGACTATCAATCTTAGCTTACCTTGAATTTACGGCAGCAGTAAAAAATCAATTTCAGAAATGAACAGTCATGAAACAGTTTTAGTATCGATATCAGTTTACAATCGAGTAGATATAAAACTCGAATGGTGGATTTTCTTGCTCCATGTTAACTACAAGCGAGCAACCTTTATTAGACGGGCGGAAACCGAGCGCTTTTACGATGAAGTTTTTTTGCAACCAGAATATAACTTTTTTTTTGTTTTTTATGTTTAAGCTCAAGTTTACATTTAAACGTTTTCATTTAGTTTTTTTTTTTCGTCAAATATTAATGCCGATCAATATTAGCTATAAACAAGTCAAATTCGTAACGACACCAAATAATGATATTTCATAAGTATTCTACGGCTGTGTGAACAACCATGGCCTCGCTACTAGTTGTGTGAAGGCATGCGGAGATAAAATGGACGATATATAAATGAGCATCAGCATATAAATAATTATACAGTCTGATCGTATCTAACGCTCGATTCAAAACATAGCACTATCGCGTTCAAGATTTCAAAACAATTTAGGTAATAAACTAGAGATGCGCCGAATAGTATTCGACTTAACTTTTACCGAATCGGATTTTCGGCCTAATTATTCGGTTTACTTTTATTCAGCCAGTGTTTCTAAGTGCTCCTTGTAACATCGGGGAAATATCTTTAAAATAACACTGCAGGCGTGTATACTAATGTGGATTTATACCATTTTATCACTTTTCATACGAAAATAAAACGAGATGAGCGTGATGTCGTCGGATGTCTTTACTCCTCGACGAACGGAAACAGAACGCGAGCCGATCACGCCATCTCTATAATCGAGTAATTGGGTAATCGAGTAACAATAAAAAAAAAACTAAATCAAACGATCTTCGTAAAGGTGATGGAGATATTTTCCGACAAATAAAATAATAAAAAAATTAGTCGACTAGCCCATTACCTGATTTTTAACGGTGGACGTGAGCAGTTGCCTCTGCAGTTCGACGGGATTGCTCTCTAGGAGAATCGCCGCGAACTTCTTTGAGTCTGGCGTGGCGATCTGCGGCGGACGTGACGGTGTATCGAGCGCGGCGTCGAGCCTGCCCAGCGGCGCCGACGCCGCGGGACTGGCGGCCGCCGCCTCCGCTTCTAGTTGAGCGGCGCGCGCCAACAATATGTCGCGCTCACATCGCAAACGTTGCAAGTCGGCGCAATCGTTGCAACCGCCTGACGCTGTGGACGAATAAATAAATATTACACATCACATAACTATACTGCTCAGATCCGCACGTGGGCGTGACGAACTCGAGATCGTTTTGTCTACACCCAATTGTCACTTCTCGGGTGCGCTCATACGATGATATCTCACTCTCGACCCGAGAAAGTAACATTTGGGCGTAGACAAAGTGTATCTCAACTTTATCGTGCAACGCGTGCTGGCGTAAGTCTGAAATACCGAAAGTAAAGGTTTATTATAGAACGAGGTCGGACTTTTATATTAGGTTTAACCCATTGTCTGATCAAAAAGTCTCGATTTGACGTTTGTTCTTCTGTCATGTGATAAGTTGATACTTGTTTTAAAACTTTAGGCGTTTTAAAACGAGTATCAACTTTAATCCTCATTCTGTGATAACACGGTAGATGGAAGCACGTCAGGTTTCTTCTACATAGTGATAAATTTTCATAATCGATGTTGAACGTTTACATTGGTTTCGTTGATATCAGATTAATCAAAACTACTCTCATCGTTCAATAATGGATCGAGTATAGATTGAGTATACCCTATATCAAAAGCATATAGTATTGACTATCGAGTGCGTTTTGATTCAATCCGATGTTAAGGAAATTGATTAGTGTAGTTACGCAGTAGATCCGCTGACTAAGTACTGGAGCAGGGACCTCAAGTTCGAGTTATACCTTTTTTCTCCCTATACTATTCCACCCATAACGAAGCCCCAGCAATGGGGACACTAACAGGCTGATACTGAGTACAGTGGCGAGTTAACTAGCCTTCTATGACGTCACCTCGAAATCAATCGTAAGTTTATTGCTTCGATTCTTCTTTGTAATCACGCTTTTGATATCACAAGGCCTTCCCCATTGAAATAAACAGAGATCGAACTGATGTGTCTGACTGCACAAGACTGTATAATATACCTTCCGGAACAAAAGGGATTACTCATAAAGATTACAAAACTTTATTACGGACTATTGAGAAATTTGCTTTTTCTCATCAACATATTAATTTAAGATTTTTTTTTTAACAATATCGGTTATTTAGTCTAATGGGCAGTTGCACAAACGTTCATTAGGGTTTAATGACGCCGTTATGCTCTTATGAATGTCAAATTTGTATGGCTAATGTTGCTTTAAACTAATGTCATTTTTAATAGACGTTTGTGCAACTGGCCTTTATCTTTTAACAAGCATGTTTTAATGAATCAAAGACTCGTCGATGCATATCTACGATGAAAGATCTTGTCTTAAAGAAAACCAGCAAGAAACACAGCTGTGTCTATCCATGGTTTTAGTGCTCATTTTCTTACATTCAGATTTGTTAGGTATATTAAAAATAACTTTAAGAGACTGAAGTCACTTTTCATTGCAATAATGAATTAGTATTTGGAAAACATGTTAACCAGACTCGGGTAGCTCAATCGGTAGAGTAGTAAGAAGGGATAAGAATCCCACCTTAGGCACCGGTGATTGATGATTTTTTCAAGCATTTTTCTTTAAGACAAATAGCAATTTAACACTACGAATGCAATTTTTTTCAAATATAATAAATATTTCTTATATCTGAAATAAAAAATTATGTCATCTGTGATTGAAAGCTGTTACTACATAAGTTATTTTATAGTCTTAGTGCGGTATTATTATCTACAGATATATACAGTACATAACGGTATTATTTCGACCCTCCATTTTGTCTAAAAGACTGAATCGACGACCGACCTACATCATAATGGTAGGCTCCGCCCGCCTCGGTTGGGTGCGGCTAATAAATCCGACCCAAAAGCAGCTAGTAATAAAGACTGTATTGTAGTTGAATAATGTGAAAAGTATGTAAATAAATTTGAATCTAAAAAGTAATAAATAGTTCATTGTCTAGTTGATGTGCACAAAAATAAGTTTTTAATGCAACTAGGTCAACGTATTTAATAATAAACGGGTGACTGTATGTGTTTAAACCAGCTTTTCCCAAAGTGGGCGATAACGTCCCCTTGTGAAGGGGGCGGTAAGAGACAGCAAAAAATGGAGGCGTTGTGTAGCTTATGAAAAGTTCAAGGTCTCTTACGACTCAAGTTAACTGTTATGGTAATTATTATTTCCTATCATATAATTCACAATAATTAATTTAATTTGAAGTTATAGTGCTTTTTTATCAAAGTGGACAATAGGCGAAATAAGTTTGGGAACCCCTGGTTTATACGCTACATTTATTTTTAAACGTCTATAATTTTAAGTAATCTTACAAGGTTAACATCCACGTAGACATTGACCAACTTATCGGTACATTGTAAGCAGACGGTAAGTGCTCGTGTGTGATAGAAAAACTGGTGTGTCATAAAAGGGAATCGCCTTTATAAGGTGCAGTTGCATAGTTTCGGAAACCGGTCAAATACCTGAGAGGGCTCGCGCGAACGACTCCTCCGCTGTGTCGCCGGAATGCCGTTCGTCAAGCTCGCCGCGAAGGACCTCCGCCTCTTCACGTAAACGGACGCCTTTACGTTGGATGACGTCAAGCAGCGCCAACAGTTCGTCTTCGAGCGGTCGCGAACGGGTGGCCGACGCGGACGCCGATGCCGAAGACGAATGAGCGTCCTTCCCGCACGAGGTCTCCGTGCTGAAACCGGAGTCTTGCACGGAGGGCTGAGGTTTGGCGCGTGATGAGTCACCGCCGCCGCCGGCCAGTTTTCGGCGGACCCGCACGCCCGGCTCCCAGTCCCGGCGGGTACCGCTTGGGGGCGTTGACGGCGGCATTTTCGAGCGCAAGTTGGGAAATGTCTCGATGACGAGATCGCGAAACTCGAGTAAAGCGCCGACCTCATTCTGGAGTTCCTTTTAAAAAAATAATTCACATAATAAATTTGAAAGTAAACTGACTCTGAACTAGACACAAAATATGTATATTATTATATATTCTTGATGTATATAAACAGAGGCTCGTCAGGCTTATATCTTTACGTCTCAAGACGCATTATTTATTATCTTACTTTTACTATTAATTAACAAATCATGCAATGGAATTTTTGAACAATTTTAATAACAGCAACTATCTAAATATATTTGCTTTGAATATTTTCATTATGAAATTTATAAGTGTCCGATAAAAATGCGTTATATTTTTCTTAGTATCGTAATATGTCAATAAGATAACAAATTTGATTTCTACAAACATACCTACCTAATAAACAACAAAATAAGTAAGTATTACAAAGTCGCGAGTTCACGGATCATTACGAAAAGACATCGCGCAATCGCATTCTATTGCCGATGAACTTGTACCAATCAATAAATATGTGACATTATTTTTGTTCACTAATTAAAACATGAAAACATAACTAAAACTCTTTAAATAATAATAAAGGAATAAACACTTAAGTAGCACAAACTATGTATTTATTGGTATATTTTTATAAAACGGCAGATTTTTTCAAATTTTCAAAGATACTAAATGAATCCATATCAGTTTCGTCTGTGCAGTTACAGAATGCATTCTTTTAAATATAACCTTCCATGGTTCCAGACCTCTACTAAACAATCACTTGGATACATGTCATTGACCGATCATGGTTTTAACGCAAAACAGTAGCCGGAGACTAACGGCTTCCCTTCAGACGCGAAGTAGTTCATGGAAAACGTAAACTTGAATCATTGCGATTCTCAATTCTCTTTCAGTAGCGATACGAACGTGTAATCGGTTGTACTGAAAACAAATCTTAAATATACACTCGTCATATTTTAAAGAAAACTCACTCAGTCATCGCTTCGCATACAGATTGGTAATAATACATTTATTGTATTTACAAGATTAGTTATAAATCGAATTCCTAGATGGCGCTGATATTAGCTCATTTATATCTTTTTATTCGAAATCGATCGTTAGATGACATTGTTCTTGTTTTATTGACATCTTTTAATTTTCTACTCTATGCATCTGTTTTGTGCATAGAGTTAAAGTATTGTGTACATATCAGAATGACGTCATGAATATGGCGGACAGCGTTTTCGCTGGTATAAAAAAGGTTTAAATTTTGATTTAATTTTAAAACAATAAAACGCGTTTATTTTTCCGAAATATTTGTTTTATAAATAAAACTCAACAACAATTTTTACAAATTGTCGTCTAGCTAGATTGGTGTTGACAAAATTAACACTAGACAATGTTTTTATTTAAACGCGAAAATCACTAGTATTTTTAATCTCAAGCGACAATTTGATAATAACACAAAGAACTAGTAGCAGATCTTACCTGTAATGCGACAAGGGACTTAGCCTGCTCCGAGATGAGGTAGTGGAACGGACCAGGCGGCGAGCGCAGTTGCATACACTCCATGCCCGACCCGCCCGATCCACCGCTGGCGCTGTCTGCACCCCCCGTCTGGAAAAAAGGGAGGGAACCGTTCAAACTTTTGCTTTTGCTATAACACTTTTTCAATGTAGACACAAAAGAACAATTCATTGTAAGTCAATCTTTACAATGTGCCGAATTATAACGATTACGACCTAAGTTGGCCAAATATACAGGGTTTTTAGTTACCAAAAAGCTTTTTCCAGGCATACAATTTTTCTGAAAGGCAGTTGACATTATTAGAACAAGCAAAAAATGTATACAAGCATATCCTTCGTCAGAATGGCATGGGTCATGACGTCACAAACGAAGGAATATAAAAATCCGAAGGCGAAGTAGCTCATCAGAGCTGTGACAGTAACGAGGTTAAGTTCGTGACAACTGTAGCCAATGTTAAAGTAATTTACTGCAAATCCAATCAAGGGAATGATTACGACCACCTGTTGGACTGGCGTAAAGGTTGCACGTTAGACATAAAACTAAAGAGACATGGCAACAAACAGTCGAAATTAAACTTTTTACAAACCATAATTTTGTAAAATAGAAACAAGCATGTGACATTGCGTGTTGATTTAAATCGGCGTTGAATAATGGGTTACAAAGATGAAAATAATGAGGCAAATAGGTATAATGACCAAAAAATTACATTAACTAAAAGAAAATAGGCGTAATGTCATAGTCATTATGTTATGATAATGATGACAATACAAAGATTGAAATATAAAAAATAACGATTCAATCTTATGGCCAAGAAATAATTGAAACAAGAGGATTTTGTCACTATTGATGGACTAAGTTACTACCAATTATTTTGACATCACGTCGTGTTGTACGTTTTTAAATCGACTCCTTAAAATCATTATTTAAGCTACTACTATTTCTTTTCACTAAACATTGAGCATCAGATGTTTGAATAACATTAGAGATTAAGTGTTGTTTCTTTATCAAATGGAGTGGATTTGCTTTGTCGGCATTATGATGTTACATTGATATAAAATATATGTTTTTCGTCTGCGTGGACTCGCAAAATGTTATCTCTACATAGTGAATATGTCAGTATTCTAAAACCTATGTCAACAGGCGTTTTTAGGTCGTCGATGTGCGAAATAAAAAATGGAGAGATGACCCCGTGTCCCATTTCATCAAAATCCCTTGAGCCATTCCAGCGTATTTGGGAAAACAAACGACCATAAGTTTGCAACAAAAAGTATCAAGACTAAGTAATCTTTATTCATCTTGATTGTTTCCAAACAAAATAATTATTAACGATAACATAGTAAAAATGTAAGATCACAAAAATAACGTTAATACTAACAGCGTGTATTGGGTCAGATTACCAATACTTGTTAATACCAATGTACCAGGTACCTTGTCTATAGTAAGTACACAAAATAATGTCACCTCGCCATGTTCTCTAGCGTAAAATTACGATATGCTCGAGTGCTCCCCGAACAGTCGTTCTTCCTCCGCCATTGTACATGCTTGTTGTTGCATTATAAAAACGTATTGCTAAATTAGTTTTTTATCGCCGCCTAAAGTTGAGAATATAAAGCTTTTAAAATCTCCGTTTATTTGTAGGTTGCGATGTCATTAGGGCTAAAAGGTACTTTGCTAGCATTGTGCCTTTTGAACATGTTACTATTGTTATGTAGTATACACTTTTATGAGAAATTTTAAAACTTTGGCTGTCCATTAGATTATATAACATTAAACTATGACTTCACCTCCTCAGAAATCTTTATCTTTAATTCATATTCTATTGCTATGGTTGCACTATCTCTGAGTTCCCGGGGTCGTATTCTATTTGCAGTTTATATTTTGTATCTGCTATAGCTTTAAATCTCTTGTAGCTTTGTCCTTTCAGTTTTCTATGATAAGTAAGTTATTTTACGTTCAAATTCAAATTCTACGAATTCACTATTGACATTAGATTGTTTTGTCGATTGATTCAGCAATTTTACTAGAAGGTTTGAATCGAAGTCGAGATACATTTTACACCTGTACGTCTTTTCAGTGTGATCAAGTCCAAATAATAAAAAAGTCGCTTCCCGCTGGCTATACTCTGAGCTGTTATAAACTAAACAACGGATTTTAAAGCTGTGTTCATTAATTTACAGAGTGATTCATATGGAAGGTTTATATGTATAATATAGGTGACGGCAAGCTAGTATATTCCATATCAATATCATTGGTATATTCATAATTCAGAAATACTTATATCTAAAAAGAAAAACAAACTGAAACGTCTTACTAGAATATAAATGCTAATTTATCAGATGCGGCCAGGTTTTAAGTTGTTAAAGATGTTGCACGTTAATAGAATATGACAATATTCGTATACAAAGTATTTAATAGTATAAAGTTGGATTAAAATCCAACATCAGGGAATGACTGATTGGTAGCGCCTTGTATAAATGAACGCTAAAAATCAAGAATCAATAACAACAATACTGCAAACCTTAACTGTAATAATTTTAATCTTTATAACGTTCTTTGGCAGAGTTATAATAGAGCAACGGTGTTTAATCCAAGAGATTTTTAAAATACCAATCTAGGATAGAAAAAAAGCAAACGGGACAACGCAAACACGCTGATAGTTACGTGTTCCACCGCAAATTATATCAAATTACTGTGCCACAACGATTAGTTAGATGTAAACTAAGACCAGTTGCGTCCACAATGGTGCTGCGTGAAAGCTGCCGCGGTAATCACCGGGTGCCTGTTTACAGGCCGACGTTGACAAACAGCGAGCAAAAAGCACGCTTTTTACGCGACACGGTGGCGTTTTGGCGGCGATTTCATAGTTTCACTTTCTTTAGTTGCGTCAACGCAAGGCCGCGTGCGTATCTCTTTTTAAAGTTGCGCCCGTGTTATTATTATGACATAAAGCTGTTACATTAAGACACACTCACATGATTAGTCGCCTCGGAACTGGCCGGATCTGCCAATTGTTTGTTTTCACTTGGCGCTATTCAACAATATGCAAATTACGGACACATGTTCAATTGCCGCTGTACACAACATAATGATGACGCTTTCATAAACGAGTTGTAATGATGAGTGGATAGATACCATTGACATAAAGAATATAGATACGGATGTACTAAACCATATGTGGCGACGCGACAACACCAAACTTGTAAAATTGACGCTCACGAATTTCTAACATGAGTATGCTCTTCTATCGAGTGTAATGTAAAGTAAATGTTTTTGCCAGGTGAGAGGACTCCAATACTTATTTTATGCTATTATTATTAGGAGGACGTTCCGATAACTGTGTGGGATAATATTTATAATTTACTTACGCACGCAACAATGTCATATTAGTAAGTATAAAATGAAAAATGAAGAGCCACATGTGCAATTTTCATTCAATACATATTGCCATTGTTAATTTTCAATACAAGCCATGGAACGAACATGTGGATATTCAAGTAAAGACCAGGCCATAGCCTATACGCGTACCCAAATCGTTTGATGTGCTTTGCGGAGCGAAGACTCGATGACCAGCCTTTGCGATAGTTGCTTAACCTCTGTAATCGCACATCGTACCCGTGTTTACATACTGCATATAGAGCTCTTCAACATGCATCTAATGTCACAATATTTTGATACGTTATTCAAAACTAGTCATATGCTGCATTCTTTCTAGCGTTCACGTTTGATTAATAGAACGAGACAACTAGCTACATATATGAAAACGTACTAGAAATGTTTGAAATTGTATTTCTTCTTTCGCCATATTATAGAAAGTATCGCAATATTCTACAACACTTTTGTCAGTTTACTTTAATTTTAATAGGGATGACGACTAATTTTTATCTGTTTGTCCGTCAAGTAGATTGTTGAAAAATATTAAATACGTATTTACATTTTTTATTTTTTTTGTAATCAATAATTACGGCGATACAATGACTTGAAATGTCACATGACAAGCTTTTGTACATTTTCTACAAAACTGTGTCGTAGCGAGCCTCAACTAGTTTAATGCCTATTATCTAAGCCATTTCTTAATTAAACTGACGCAAAAATATACGTATCTTATATTTTTCTATTATCCGACTGACGGAATATTCTTCTTTTACCCAGTCGTCATCAATATTATTGCATAATTTATAAGCATGTCGATTTATTAACGTATAGTACGTTTGTTGTTATTGTAATGGAACTAATGACGTGACTTATACAACTGTTTCTCAATTAAAAATAACTATTAATGTTAATATTGTTTTGATAATGACCTGGTTTGTGTAAATGTGATTACTAATACTAAGAGTTGATAAGTTCTTTGTACACATTATTAATTTATAAAGATGCCCTAAACCCATTCAAGGTAGGTAAAAAGTTCTATTCACTTATCATAAATAAAGTTCATAAACTTTAAGCAACACACTCATCAAAAGTAAAGTTCATGAACTTAAATTAAATAACCCAACAATATTTGTCAAAAATTTCGGGAAAAATCAAATAGCACAAAGTGTTACAGAATTAATATCGAAGCAAGTGTTGCCAATTGGATGTTACCTTTTAATGCAACAAGTTTATAAAGAAAAAAATGAAACTACTTTTAATACACTTTCAGTGTGAACTAGTAGTGACACCAGAATTCTGACGATTTGTTTTCATACAAATTCAAAAATTCCAAAACCTCTTCTTTGCATGCCTCTTTCGCGTGATCGAAAAGCACTAATGTGCGTTTAGATTGGGAATAACAAAAACAAAACAACTTAGTTTATCCTATAAAAATTACATGACGAGATGACTTTGTAAAGAACTTGTTTGTCTATCACTTCCAATTTCTTTTGTAACGATCAACCTATCGGCAACGATTGTGTAAGCATCAACGTCAAGTCATTTCATACGTTACGCCTCGACCGGACCAATTGACGATAACAATGATTGATAAATCGGTCCAAAGTGTCTGATATTATAAGGCTCTAATATACCTAACCGACTCCATGACTTGAAGTTTAAGATGTTTTGACTTTGGCATGGTTTTTATGAATGTCATTACTATTTAAGACGTCCTG